TAGCCAGCAGCAGAGATGCAGGTAAAGCCTGTTCACAGAGGGCTAATCTGAGCCCTCTTACAGTGATGCAAGGTTTCCCCCCGCCACAGTAACATTTTATGTTGTTCTAGATTTTTATTTTATATTACACTTGTTTTTACTCTAGAATTATTTTAGATTTTTTTTTTTTAGAAATGTATTGTTTTATTTGTGATTTTATTTGTGATTTATATATGTTCTAGATTTTATTTTTCTTTATTTTACTTTTAATCACTTATTCACTTTTATTTTACTCTTATTCATTTTTATTCTAGATTTAGGTTGTTTATATTTTTCTAGATTTAATTTTTTAATTAATTTTATTTTTATATTAGATTCATTTTTATTTTAGATGTTTTATTTTTGTTAGATTTTATTTCAGATTTTTTTTCCATTTTTTGTTTGTTTTAAATTTCTTTTATTTTAGATTTTAAACAACCTGTTTTTATTTATTTGTTTTTTATTTTTTATTTTTCATTAGAAACTGTTATTTAAGGTTTAATGTATTTAAGGTCCAGGATCTGTACTCCACACAGTGTTCTATTGATATTGTTTGTGTTTGATATGAACTGATATTTTTAATCACTTATTCACTTTTATTTTACTCTTATTCATTTTTATTCTAGATTTAGGTTGTTTATATTTTTCTAGATTTAATTTTTTAATTAATTTTATTTTTATATTAGATTCATTTTTATTTTAGATGTTTTATTTTTGTTAGATTTTATTTCAGATTTTTTTTCATTTTTTGTTTGTTTTAAATTTCTTTTATTTTAGATTTTAAACAACCTGTTTTTATTTATTTGTTTTTTATTTTTTATTTTTCATTAGAAACTGTTATTTAAGGTTTAATGTATTTAAGGTCCAGAATCTGTACTCCACACAGTGCTCTATTGATATTGTTTGTGTTTGATATGAACTGATATGTAAAGCACTTTCACTCAGGTATGCAAATGTTTTTCTGCTCTTTTGATGACAATTCAAATCATGTTCGGCGTAAATTGATGCGAGGCAAAGCATCGGCCGGCGTCTCTCGTCATGTTTTGCGTTACGAGAGCGTTTTCTTCAGCTGCGTTCTGGAGTGACTTCCGCGCGATTCCTCCGTCGCTAAGCCACCAGCAATAACAGGAAGGAGTGGCGTTCCGAGAGGCTTTGTGTGAGTTTGTGGCCGCTTTGATGTGTGTGCGTTCCATGATTATTTCTCATATTACTTATTGTTTAACTACTTGGTCGCAAGCTAGTATTACTACTCTGAAACCACTAGAGTCTTTGTATAAACAATCACTAAAACTCTTGATAAGAAATCAGTTCAGTTTAATCATTGTTCAATATAAAACAAAAATACAATTGGCTAAGCTTGGATAACTTGATCAGATATGTACATATTTGTCTACTGTTTAAGACTATACACAGCATGACTTCACCACTAAAACAGGTTGTGAGTATTAGAACAACTGCTCACCGGTCTGACTGTATTATTCCTCTCAAAAATGTAAATTCAGTCAGTCTGTATTTTCAGTCAAAGCTGCATCCCATCAACAATTAGAAGATTACATACTTTTTGTTCTTTTCAGTTTCATCTTAAAAAATGGTTATGGACAACTCAGCGCTGTCAACATTAGTATTGTATTCTTGACTGTAGACTAACTTGTACTAATTGCTCTTGGCTATGTTGCCTTCTCCTGTTGCCATCTCTCTCTCCTTTCCTTCATATTTTTACTTTGTCTAGATAATTTACTTATATTTTGTATTTTAGTAGCGGTTTTTACTGTGCATTTATGTTTCTGTAATTTTTTCTGTATTTTACTTTTTACTTCCTTTTTTTCATATGATGTGTATATGTGTAATGATGCTCTGTCTTTGTTTTAGGGTGACCTTTTAACATTGTCAAGGGTCTACAGATGAAAAATAGCATTTTTGGCTAATTCTGGCACATTTACAGTTATGTTTATTAATGTGCATTGCCCCTGTTAACAAATAAACTTCAACTTGTGGCTGTGTTCAGATCCTGCGCTGCTTCATGTTATCAGACGTCTGAATGAATGATTTGGATGATGACAGATGTTCGTCTGCTCTCACAACTCTAAATATTAAAGTCTGTCTAGTTAGTTTGTTGAAATAAACATCTGTCTTGTGAGACTAGAATGATTGCGTGTGTTTGAGACGGCGTAGATCTGCTCAAACCCTAGTGAGCTGTCTTAATGTCTGCTGCCTACATAGGCATCTCACCTCTTAAGGACCTTTACACACTTTTTTTTAAATACTTTTTTACTCTTTATTTTTTTTACACGCTTATGTACTCTGTATTTGTTTTAAAATTATTTTTAATTTTAGTCTTTCTATGCAAATTCCATGTTTAGTTTGTTTCTTGGGGGGGTGGGGGGGGTTTGCTAGAAAATTATGTAAATTATTTATTTATTGAATTCTGTAAATTTATATATATATAGCAAAAAAAAGTATATAGAGCAAAATATATATAGCAAAAAAATATATATAGAGCAAAAAAAATAAGTTTCAATTTTTTTTTAAATTGAGATTTCTATATCAGCTGAAAGCTGAATAAATAATCTTTCCATTGATGTATGGTTTGTTAGGATCGGACAATATTTGGCTGAGATACAACTATTTGAAAATCTGGAATCTGAGGGTGTAAAAAAATCTAAATATTGAGAAAATCATCTTTAAAGTTGTTCAAATGAAGTTCTTAGCAATGCATATTACTAATCAAAAATTAAGTTTTGATATATTTACGGTAGGAAATGTACTAAATATCTTCATGGAACACGATCTTTACTTAATATTCTAATGATTTTTGGCATAAAAGAAAAATCTATAATTGTGACCCATACAATGTATTGTTGGCTTTTGCTACAAATATCCCCCAGCGACTTAACACTGCTTTTGTGCTGCAGGGCCACATATGTTTATATAGTACAAATAGTATTTTAAGATTGAATCTTTTTTTTTTTTTTGAGCAATTAATTTACTATATAAATTGTGGCCCATTTAAAAAAATATATATTTAATGTAAATATTTATATTGTCCAAATGTATTTTTAAAAATACATTTTACATGCACCCAAAATGTGTTTTATGATCTGAAGTTTTTTCTCCATTCATGCTCTAATGTATTTAGAGATTTGTAACATAATAAAAAACAAAAATACCTTAAAATATATTTTCTTAAGCTGTGCTGTTTATGACTTATTTTTAGCACATATTCCACTGTTCCACATATGTTTAGTGCATTTTGCACTCTTCAGTCCGTATGTTTGTCTTTGGCTGTTGCCGGATGTGTTTAGTGGAGCAGTCTGCAGCCGGTCACAGGTTCAGACCTGCAGGAGTGGAGTCTTGTGCTGATCTGCGGCGTCTCTGTGAGATCTGATGTCTCTCTCACACAGCAGATACTCACACTGTTACGTGACTCGTTAAGAAGGTCAAGAAATCCCTCTCATCAGTCTGTCTCACTCAGAGACGCATCATCAGTATCCATGACGACAGACCGCATTGATCCTTGATTTGGTGTTGTGTGTGTGTGTGTATGCAGAAACTGAGATTGACTTTTATCTGCCACATGATGACATTTTGACGAACGCATCACTTCCTCTTCTCCACTTCTGACTGTCTGTTCTGAGCGGAGTAAAGCGGCGTTCAGGAGGAAGAGAAGAGCGTTGAGATCAGCACTTTCCTCAGACGCATCGCTGCGTTTGAGGTGGATTCTGGGAGTTTTGGCTGCGTCTCACTCCAGCTGTGGAAAACAATCCGTCCCGAGCGCTGAACTCTACAGGAAGTTCATCTCTCTCTCTCTCTCTCTCTCTCTCTCTCTCTCTCTCCCTCTCTCCCTCTGCTTCCACATTCTTCACTGCGTCTCCTTCCAGTGTTTCCATCATCTGTGCTGCCAGAAGCTCTCGCTCGCAGCCTTTTCCGTTTTGAACCTCTCAGTCTTTCCTCGTGTGTCTGAATTATTTTGAGTCCTCTGAGCCGCGTGTGTCTGCAACATTCAGACCATCAGCACTTTTAGAAAAATACGGAAAAAGAGACCAGCAAGAAAACAAGTCTGCATATTTTCTATATGTTTTTTTCTGTTCACAAAGGCTGCATTTATTTTATAAAAAATGCAGTAAAATTAAGAAATATTTTATAATTAAAATAGCTGTTTTAGCATCATAGGACCCCTTTAATTTTTTTTTTTTTTCACTCCAGATTAGCAATTTCTGCCTAATAAAATATTTTCAAATTTCCATGATCTTTTAAAGGTTACAAATGTTAATGACTTTTCCAGGGCTTAAACAAAACACAAGTGTAGATGTGTAGATTTTTAAAAAAAACAAAAAAATGTAATGCCTTTCATATCCAGGTTTTCCAAGACAGTGTGAACCCTGAAATTTAAATAAAGTAATGGGGGAACAAATAAAAAAAACATTTTAGCCGTTAAGCTGTAAGCTTGATTTGTCTTGATTTTAAGTCATTTTGAGGCCTGGTGTTTGAGAAATTCTGCTCTAGACTTCTAGAGTGCTGTTTCATCAGTTTGAGAGGAGAAAGTGTGTGTGTGTGTGTGTGTGTGTGTGTCAGGATCAGTGTGTCCTGCATCATTTAGGCTAATCAGTGTGTTACTCTACACTGCTGACACCTGATCACCTTCATCTCTCTCTCTCTCTCTCCCCCCTC